ATCGGCCGCGTACCACCGTCTGGCTTGGTGAGTGCTATTAGGCGGGAGGCGGTAAGGAGATCAGCCACTGCTGGCGGTAGGTTCCCTGTAAGGATGGTGTTGACGAGTGCATGCAGATGTTTCCCCACAGAGGCGTTGACCAGTGATGAATCCCGTAAGTGTTCAAACGTTGTTCCAGAGGGGCCCGCCCCAACTGCCATCTCACAGCGCCCCAACACCTTGGAGAAGATCTCGAAGGGTGCGGACAGGTGTGGGTCTGGTGCCGGGAGTGTCCAGTCAGGTTGAGAGGCTGGTGCAGGAGGATGCTTGGAGCGCAGTGCCTCCAGCACGATTGGGGACGGAGTGCAGACAGGAGTGGCCTCGAGAGCCATTACCGCACGTCGCAGGCTGCCACGTCTGGCGAGCCCCTCGGCACGTGCGATGATGCCTATGTCATCTGGGTGGTGTCTAGGTGGCTGGGGCCACGACAGGGAGTCCACGGTGTCCTTGAACAGCTTATCCCAGTCTCCCGAAAGGAATTGGGTAAGTCGCGATGTGACTGTGTGCCAGTCAGGTTGCCTTGGCGAGGGTTGGCGAAGTGTAAGGCGTGCGAGGAAAAGGAGTACCACCCATGCAGAATGTGAGTCAGGATCCTTCGCCAGGCGCAGCAGTGGCACCAGCATGGCTGTGGCGAAGAGCTTTCGTTGATCGCGGGGGAGGTGGCGGGAAAGGGAGGCGTGGCGACTGTCGCGCAGTTTCGTCAGGTCCCAAGTCTCGACCCCTGCGAATAGGGCGTCGTCCTTCGCGAGGGTTTCTGGAGATTTTTCTTCGGGGGGTTGGGGTGAAGTGTGGTTACCGTCAGGAACAGTTGGATTTGCAATTCGCGTGGCCGTGGAAGTGTGGGGAATTGTGGTTGGGGCTGGGGGCGTGGCGACATTGCCCAACGCGGCGCGGGTTGGTGTTGGGGGTCCCCTCCTTGCCGATCTCACACCTGCGGTGCCATCTGCAGTGTGGGAAAGTGTTGTTCTTCCTGCTCGGGCCGGATTCTGCTGTTGCACGTCGTCGACAGACTCAGAGCTGGAGGTCGAGTCTGTGGACTCGGCTGGTACAAATTCGGTATCTGATGTGCTGCTATCAGTGCCTCCCCTCATATTCGTTAAAGCCCGCCTCCCCGCCCGCTGGTAGACGTTCTCAGGCCCGCCACCGCGAGCTCTCCCTCCGCCGCCTGCCGCTCTCCCTCCTCGTCCTGCTGGGCCCGCTACAGGGCGCTGTCCGTCAGCGTTAGGCAAGGCGCTCACCCGCCGCCACGATGGATCCGTCCGTCGCTCCCGTCCGCGAGTGTACCGCGGAGAGCGAACCTGCTCTCCGCCCGCTTCCTCCTCCGCGTCCCGCTGCGAGCGTCCCCGTTGTTCCGTTGCCCGTGGCAGATCAGATACGTCGCCGTTTCGAAGATCAGTGGCGCGAGCTGGGGCGGGCCTCGCCACGTAAGGATCAGACGCGCGAGGCACCCGGCGTGCGCTCCTACGTGGAGGCCGTGGCGCCCCGGGGGCGCTCGCCTCGGCGCCGTTCGTCGGTGACGCGCGAGGATGGGAGGGCGGGCCGCCGCGAGGAACGCCGTGGAAAGTCTCGGTCGCCGCGTCCGCCGCGGTCGCCCCGCTCGCCTCGTTCGCCCCGCCGCGTGGCGTCGCGCAGCCAGTCCCGAGATCGCCGGACGCGTCGTCTCCAGTCTCCTGTTCGCCAATCGGCCCATCCTCGTTCCCCTGATCGTCGCGCCTCTCGTCTCCGTTCCCCGTCCGCTCGATTCGCCGCGGCTGTCAAAGCGCCAGCGGCTCTACTCTCCTCGTCGCACGGCGCGATCTCCTGGCCGCCAGCGCCGGCGCGTTCCGTCGCACCAGTCATCACCCGTTCGCTCAAATGCCAGTGGTCAAGGACGACCTGGGCGGCGGGGTGGAAGTGCTCGCGGCGGGGCAGTGCGTCGTGCGCCGTCCGCGATGGATCGTCTTTTCCAGAGGCTGGACGGCGTGGAGAAGGCGCTCCACCGTGTGAATGTGGAGTCATCGTCTCAAACTGCGCCTGCAGCCGCTCCCGTCGCTCCCCTAGCCGCTCTTCTGCCGCACGACCCAGAGGGGTCCCTTGTGCGTCCAGGCCGCCCGCTGCCCGCGGGGGCGGGTTTCCAGGGGGCAGGTGGCAGGGATCCCTGGGCCCCGTTTGTTCCACCGCGCCCTGCCCTTCCTCCTCGTGATCTCGCCGTGACGTCTCGCCGAGCTCGCTCCACTGCAGCCCTTCCGCCGACGAAGGAAGTGCCCACGGCGACCCTGGCGCGGTTGTGGTCGCTGGCGGAGAGTCTGCAGAGTCTTGAACAGATTCTCCTGGAGTCACACGGCTCCATGTCGGTGACCCCACCGAGCACATTCTCTCAGATTCCGCGAGCAAAGTGTCACGCGGCGGCGTCAACACTATTCGCGTACGTGTCGCCACTGCAGGTTGCGCCCTCGCCGGGAGTAGTCTCGGCCACCCTGCTGGCCGAGACGGCCCTGGATCTGAAGACGCTTGTAGGAGGTCGCAGTACTCCTGTTGACGTTGTCGGCGCCACCGCGTCAGTGGTCCGCTTGATGTGGATGACCACGCGCGAAATGCTAGGTGAGCTTGAGGCGGACCGCATGTAGGCGCGCCTCTCGCGCGCGTGTAGATCCGCTCCATGTGTGGTTGTCTAGATGCACGTGCAGGCCATTGCTGTAGTCGTTGTCATCCCGAATGTCTTGAGTGTGAAAATCTTGTCGCCCCTCGTGCGCGGCCGAAGGCCGCGCCCGCGAGCGCCGGCGCGAGCGCCGGAAAAAACTGAACCACCAAATGAAGAATGAACTGAGAAAGAGGCCGAGCGGCCTTTATATAGCAGGGAAAGGGAGGGGAAGAGGCTAGGAGGGACGAGGCTAAGTCACCCTTGTCTCTCTCTCTCTCTCGCTCTCGCTCTCTCGAACGAGCGCCGGAAAAAACTGAACCACCAAATGAAGAATGAACTGAGAAAGAGGCCGAGCGGCCTTTATATAGCAGGGAAAGGGAGGGGAAGAGGCTAGGAGGGACGAGGCTAAGTCACCCTTGTCTCTCTCTCTCTCTCTCTCTCTCTCTCTCTCTCTCTCTCTCTCTCTCTCTCTCTCTCTCTCTCTCTCTCTCTCTCCATCTTTCGCCCCTCATCTCTTCCCTCCTTGTTTTCCCTTTCTCTGTTCCTCTCCCCTCATGTTCCCCTCTTTCACACTCAAAAACACAGCATGCACTCTTCCCCTCTCCTCTTCCCCCCTCCCCCCACCTCCTCCCCCTCACCATCCCCCACCTGCACACCCTTGTGACTACCTTACCAACCTCCCGCGTGAGAGCGAGACGCACCTTGGCAGAGTGGATGTGCAGGCCGGCATCGGTGAGCAGCACGAGCCACTTGATGCCGTGCTCATGCGCATGTTCATACTGCTCCGTCAGGCTGGGTGCCCGCACACACACATACTCCGCCTGCCGCACATGCACCGCACAGGAACAGGATTCCACGTTGTCACAATCAGCATATCATCCCTCACTAAACAGTGTAGTGCATGAAATCTTCTGCTGCCCACTAGGAACGTTTTCCTACCACCAAGAGCTTGCTTTATCCCCGCCGTTCAAAGCTATTACTCCTGCCGGCCATAGCTACCTTGATTCCTGCCGCCCATAGCTACCTTGATTCCTGCCGCCCAAAGCTGTGCAGAAACTTCCATCCTCTTGCTGAGCAGCCCCGCCCCGCCCCTGGCACACACGAGCACATCCACCGCTGCCTGCCTGCTCCCCCACACACAGCCGCAGTGGGGGTGCAAGTGGAGAAGTGAGGTGAGAGTGGTGCAGGAGAGGATGAGGGAAGGAAAGTGATGAAGCCAAGGGTGTGCCAAGCAAGTGAGAGAGGTTGAAAGAAGAATGTGGTGGAGGTGAGAGAGAGACACGTGTGTGCGGGCACCTGGAAGTGTGGTGGGTGGTTGGGTGTGACGGCGCCATGAGCTTGTGCAGTGCCACACTGAACCCCACCGCCCCCACCGCCCCACTCCCTCCCCCACTGCCTCCTGCCCCTCTTGGCCGAGAGCTCTGTGCAGCAGAGAAGGTGTGAAGCACACGGCACAAAGTAGCAAGGAGAGGGCCAGGCCACAGAGACGCAATGACAGGGGGGAGAAGAGCATGCGCACACACGAGAGACACAGACACGCAGGCAAGAGACCAAGAGGCACACAACAACACTTGACGGTTACAGCAGGGAGCAGCAGACTAAGAGGCGAGAACAAGGAGAGAGGAACAACATGCAAACAAGGAATGACGAAAGACGAATAGGGGAATATGGGGGTGATGCAGTGAAGCTACCTATGTCTGACACCCCACCCCACACCACACCACACCACACCACACCACACCACACCACACCACACGCCCACCCCTGCAAGCATGGAGGTCACAACAAGTCCCCGGTGCTGCCAGACCATGCCACCCACTTCGACTTCCTGCCCCTAACATGCATCCCCGTCTCAACAACCCACCGTTCCTCTCCTGGCGGCAGCGGCGGAGGAGGAGGCGAGGTGGAGCAGCAGCGCATCGTAGCGGCCGCCCACAGCCACGCAGAGGGGCGGCGAGGATGACCAGGGGGCGGCCAGGAGGGATGGGGGCGAGCCGGAGAGCGAGCGAGCGGCAGGCAAGGAAGCATCAGAAGCAAGCAGGGTGGTGCGCTGGTTGCTGATAGGGTTCAGGGGTGCTGCTGCTGGTGTTGGTGATGGTGGTGATGGTGATGGGGAGGCTGAGACGGCAGGTGCCTTGCGTGGACCTGTGGTGGGTGGAGTGCAAGCAGGAGACACGATGACTCAGGAGCTTAGTTGCGGAAGACGCAAGACGCATATGTAGACGCTAGACGCTTGGGCTAATTTTTTTTGGGCAGCCCGGAAAAAAATTCCGCGCGCGCGAAATTGAATTTCGCGATTTCGACGCAAAATTCAATTTCACGACATTTGCACCCCCTCCCACCCATTTCGACCTTAGAAACCAGCCCCCCCAAGCAAATTTGATACCCCCCCAACCGAAATTGAACATAAGCCTCACTGCACCGCTTAGTATCTAAAGAACCCAACCTCTATGGCTAACCACCAAGAGATTGGGGAGCACAAATCCCCCATTTTTGCTCCCCATCTTTCATTTCTTCAAAATTCTCTTTCAAAAACCCTTAGGGTTTTGCTAGTTCCTTCGCGAAACCATGTTGTTTCCTTTGTGTTTGCTACTGCTAGGGAGACATAGGTGTGACTATGTATGATGAGATGTGAAGATCTATGTGAACTCTAAGCATGGGGAAAAAGTTATGGTATGGAGAAAATTTGACCCAACTGTGACATGTTTGCATGTCCCCCACCCTCCCCATGCCCCACAGAAGTTTTTTTAAGCTGCCCAAACTTTTTTTGGCCTGCCCGGGCTTTCGTCTAATCCTGCGTCTAATCCGCTAGACGCAGCGTCTAAGACGCTAGACGCGTCTTCCGCAACTAAGCTGAGGAGACAGGGTAACGAGGGCTGGAAATAAGACCTGGATATGCAACAGCTGCATGTCACATGCATGGAAGCAGGGAACAGGTGCTGCAAAATCAAAGAGGACGTGGCAGAGAAATGGTGAAGGGGGGAAGGCGTTGGGAGGTGGACCTGGAAGAAGCATTTGGAGAAGTAGTGGTGGGAGGGCGCCATGAGGGCGTCGATGGTGGTGCACGCGGGGTGGATGCCCCACACTCGCAGCAGCGCCAGCAGCTCGCCCAGCTCCTCCAGCGCTGCCGCCACCAGTGGGCCTGGCGAGGGAAGGGGGAGGGTAAGACATGGGAGAAAGGGCAACAGGGGGGAGAGGGGAGATGGAAGGGAGCGGGATGGGAGACATGAGTGGAAGGAATAAGTGGGATGGGCAGCACTCATTGAAGTAGATGTTCTTTTCGCATTGACGCCCACATGGAACAGAGCATATCTGGTGGCAGCGCCCCTGTGAGCGCACACCTGGTGGCAGCGCCCCTGTGAGGCGCGCCATGGCATCGTCTGCCGGCCCACTGAAGCGCTTCTCCACCGCCTGCAGGCGATCCACCACCGCCTCACCCAGCCCCAATCCCTGCCACCGCACCGCACCCACTCACCCACACATCAGGCGCACAGGATGAGAAACATTGGCACTTAGGCACAACCGCACACAGGCATGCGGCCACATGGACAGATAGGTAGATGAACGGACGGATGGACAGATAGGTAGATGAACGGACGGATGGACAGATAGGTAGATGAACGGACGGATGGACAGATAGGTAGATGAACGGACGGATGGACAGATAGGTAGATGAACGGACGGATGGACAGATAGGTAGATGAACGGACGGATGGACAGATAGGCAGATGAACGGACGGATGGACAGATAGGCAGATGAACGGACGGATGGACAGATAGGTAGATGAACGGACGGATGGACAGATAGGTAGATGAACGGACGGATGGACAGATAGGTAGATGAACGGACGGATGGACAGATAGGTAGATGAACGGACGGATGGACAGATAGGTAGATGAACGGACGGATGGACAGATAGGTAGATGAACGGACGGATGGACAGATAGGCAGATGAACGGACGGATGGACAGATAGGCAGATGAACGGACGGATGGACAGATAGGTAGATGAACGGACGGATGGACAGATAGGTAGATGAACGGACGGATGGACAGATAGGTAGATGAACGGACGGATGGACAGATAGGTAGATGAACGGACGGATGGACAGATAGGTAGATGAACGGACGGATGGACAGATAGGTAGATGAACGGACGGATGGACAGATAGGTAGATGAACGGACGGATGGACAGATAGGTAGATGAACGGACGGATGGACAGATAGGCAGATGAACGGACGCATGGACAGATAGGTAGATGAACGGACGGATGGACAGATAGGCAGATGAACGGACGGATGGACAGATAGGTAGATGAACGGACGGATGGACAGATAGGTAGATGAACGGACGGATGGACAGATAGGTAGATGAACGGACGGATGGACAGATAGGTAGATGAACGGACGGATGGACAGATAGGTAGATGAACGGACGGATGGACAGATAGGTAGATGAACGGACGGATGGACAGATAGGCAGATGAACGGACGGATGGACAGATAGGCAGATGAACGGACGGATGGACAGATAGGTAGATGAACGGACGGATGGACAGATAGGTAGATGAACGGACGGATGGACAGATAGGTAGATGAACGGACGGATGGACAGATAGGTAGATGAACGGACGGATGGACAGATAGGTAGATGAACGGACGGATGGACAGATAGGTAGATGAACGGACGGATGGACAGATAGGTAGATGAACGGACGGATGGACAGATAGGTAGATGAACGGACGGATGGACAGATAGGTAGATGAACGGACGGATGGACAGATAGGTAGATGAACGGACGGATGGACAGATAGGCAGATGAACGGACGGATGGACAGATAGGCAGATGAACGGACGGATGGACAGATAGGTAGATGAACGGACGGATGGACAGATAGGTAGATGAACGGACGGATGGACAGATAGGTAGATGAACGGACGGATGGACAGATAGGTAGATGAACGGACGGATGGACAGATAGGTAGATGAACGGACGGATGGACAGATAGGTAGATGAACGGACGGATGGACAGATAGGCAGATGAACGGACGGATGGACAGATAGGCAGATGAACGGACGGATGGACAGATAGGTAGATGAACGGACGGATGGACAGATAGGTAGATGAACGGACGGATGGACAGATAGGTAGATGAACGGACGGATGGACAGATAGGTAGATGAACGGACGGATGGACAGATAGGCAGATGAACGGACGGATGGACAGATAGGCAGATGAACGGACGGATGGACAGATAGGTAGATGAACGGACGGATGGACAGATAGGTAGATGAACGGACGGATGGACAGATAGGTAGATGAACGGACGGATGGACAGATAGGTAGATGAACGGACGGATGGACAGATAGGTAGATGAACGGACGGATGGACAGATAGGTAGATGAACGGACGGATGGACAGATAGGTAGATGAACGGACGGATGGACAGATAGGTAGATGAACGGACGGATGGACAGATAGGTAGATGAACGGACGGATGGACAGATAGGTAGATGAACGGACGGATGGACAGATAGGTAGATGAACGGACGGATGGACAGATAGGTAGATGAACGGACGGATGGACAGATAGGTAGATGAACGGACGGATGGACAGATAGGTAGATGAACGGACGGATGGACAGTCACACCTGCAGCACACAGGCTCTCACAGCACGCACCTCCTCACAGCACGCACCTCCTCACAGCACGCACCTCCTCACAGCCCGCACCTCCTCACAGCCCGCACCTCCTCACAGCACGCACCTCCTCACAGCACGCACCTCCTCACAGCACGCACGCACCTGCAGCAGCTGGCGGCGAACAAGAGGCCAGGCAGCCTTGCGGGAGGGGGCTGTTGGGGGGGAGCCGCCCAGCAGCGCCAGCAACTGCTCGTGTACAGGGTGAGGGGAGGGTGCAAGGGGGGAGGAGGGGCGTGGCAGGGAGGCATGAGCGCAGGTGGCATGGTGCGAGGAGTGCAGGGTGGCATGGTGCTGTGACGCATGGGAGATGGTTGAACTGAAGATGGTGGGTGTTGTGGGTGGCGGAGATGGTTGAAGGGGAGGAGGAGAGCAGGCAGGAGAGGGAAGGGGAGTGACCTGAGCGACACTGGCGACCTGAGGTCGGGTGACCCCCGCCCACTGCCAGATGGCGGACAGCAGGTCGCGGTGGTTCAGCCGCACCTCCACCGCCCCCCATCCCGCCCCACTCCCCTCCACCACGTCCACCGCCACCTGCATGCAGCAGGGCGCGAGGCAGCAGGGCGTGAGGCAGCAGGGCGTGAGGCAGCAGGGCGTGAGGCAGCAGGGCGTGAGGCAGCAGGGCGTGAGGCAGCAGGGCGTGAGGCAGCAGGGCGTGAGGCAGCAGTGCGGAGAGAGGCAGTGCGGAGAGAGGCAGTGCGGAGAGAGGCAGTGCGGAGAGAGGCAGTGCGGAGAGAGGCAGTGCGGAGAGAGGCAGTGCGGAGAGAGGGTAAGTTGGAGCTGTCCTGTTGCAGCATTGAGGCCCGTGGATTTTGTTTGTGTACAAGCGTGCACTTGTGTGTGGAGGGGGGTGGGTGGGACGCATGTGTGTGGAGGGGGGTGGGTGGGACGCATGTGTGAGGAGGGGGGTGGGTGGGACGCATGTGTGAGGAGGGGGGTTGGTGGGACGCATGTGTGAGGTACATGGACGAGCATAGCGCTGCCTGAGAACGCACCTTGATGGCTTCAGCATCCGCCAGAACCGGCGTCCCTCCCACAATGTCAAAGTCTGCCTGCCACCCACCTCCACCGCAATGCACATGCCCGCACCACATCGCATGGCAAGGAGCAAAATGAGAATGGCCAGGGGCATGGTGGGGGAGAGGGGGTGGCAGCAAGAGAAGACGAGATACGCAGTTGGTTTTGCCATTGGTGGGCAACGCTCAAGGTGCACCGTACGCATACACTGCTGTGAGAGTGCAGTACACTGACCATGAGTGCAGTACACTGACCATGAGTGCATGCCATGCACTGCTGTGAGGCCCCACGGAGCTAGCTAGCACGCATACAAGCTTGTTCAACTCAACACTCCCGTGAGAGTGCAGTACACTGACCATGAGTGCAGTACACTGACCATGAGTGCAGTACACGGACCATGAGTGCAGTACACTGACCATGAGTGCAGTACACTGACCATGAGTGCAGTACACTGACCATGAGTGCAGTACACTGAGCATGAGTGCAGTACACTGACCATGAGTGCAGTACACTGAGCATGAGTGCAGTACACTGACCATGAGTGCAGTACACTGACCATGAGTGCAGTACACGGACCATGAGTGCCGCACACGTGGCGAGCAACACTCCATAGATACCCTTACCCCATGCCCTTACGCCCTGGACCTCTTGCCACCAGCCCACTTTCTCCCCTTTACCCCACCCCCCACGTTTCAACGGGTCAGACGGCCCACCTGCAGATAATCTTGAGGGGGGCGGCGACCGGGAGCGCGGCGGAACACAGAGGAGAACTGGAAGCGCTTCAGAGACAAGGTCTGGGAGGGGGAGGGGATGGGGAGACACGGGGCCACACACGGTGTGTGCCTAACGGATGGCACAGAGGCAGTGGGTGGGCGACAGTTAGAGAGGAGCATGAGAGTGTGAGGACATTCATGCGGCATCACCTGTGTGGCGGCCACCCAGCGAGCGAAGGTGAGTCGGGTGTCGTAGCGCAGTGAGAGCAGCGAGCCCTGTGCGTCCACCACTCGCACTGCCAGCCTGGCAGGGGCGCAGGGACAGGTAGGAAGAGCGGAAGAGAGATGAGAGAAAATGCACGGGCGGACAATGAGAGAGCATAACGAGAAGGTCAGCACACAGACAACATTGAGGGGTTAGGGTTGACGTACTCGTGGGTGCGGCGGTCGGGATGGGCAAAGTCAACGATGTGAGTGTCGGAGCGCAGGGCGCCATGGCGCTGGAAGATGCGCTGCACGCCCGCCACGAACGCCTCCCTCGCCCCCGTCCACTGCACCGCCCCCCGCTCCCACTCCTCCTCCTCCCCCCCACCCCCATGCAGCGCGCGCACAGATGGCGGGGTGGGCGCGGAGGAGGGAGGGGAGGCGGGGAGGCGGGCGAAGATGGCGGCGAGCACGCGGTCGTACACGGCCGACGAGGAGGAGTCGTCTCCCGGCGCCTGCATGGCCCTCAGGATGCCTGCTCGCCCCCAGCGCCACGCAGGGGAGGCACAGCAGCACACACGAGCGAGAGAGGGGCGAGGGCCATGGCAGTGAACACAGGATACACCAGCAGGGAAGCATTTGCAGAGAAGGTTGTGTGCAGGCAGGTTAGGTTGTGTGCAGGCAGGTTAGGTTGTGTGCAGGCAGGTTAGGTTGTGTGCAGGCAGGTTAGGTTGTGTGCAGGCAGGTTAGGTTGTGTGCAGGCAGGCTAGGTTGTGTGCAGGCAGGTTAGGTTGTGTGCAGGCAGGTTAGGTTGTGTGCAGGCAGGGAAGGGTGCAGCATGGGAAGATAAGAGGAGCGCAGCACAGTGAGATTGACCCCCACCCCCAACCCCCTTTGGCGGGCAAGCACCCACCCACCGTTGAGAGCCTCATCCTCCATGCGCGGCGGCATGAGGTCAGAGCGCAACACCTCCGCTGCTGATGGGCGGTCACTGGGCAGTGGACTCAGCAGCCGCCTCACCAGCTCTGCCACCTGTGGAAGAGTGTCACACACACACACACACAGACACACACACACACACACCCTCACACACACACAAACACACCCCCTCTCTCACACACACACACACACACACACAGACAGGTGCAAACAGGCACACACAGGCACATAGAGGCGGATGGGTACACACAGAAACACACAGACGCACACAGGCGGGTGGTGGAGTGGCCATTCGTGTGGCAGGGCGCACCTGGGGGTGCTTGAGCGCCCACTCGTGTGGAATGGTGCGGTGCAGCTTGAGGGCTGAGAGCGTGTGAGCGCGCTCCATGGCGGTGTGGAAGGGGTGCCAACACTCCAGCAGCACCACGCCCACACTCCACATGTCCACCTGCCCAGTGCCCACCCCTCCCACCTCACAGGGGATGTCAGTTACATGCCATGCCACGGCATCTGCATGCGCACAGCAAGCGTGAGGCAATGGACAGGCGTACAGGAGAGAGGTACGAGATGACAGGCGTACAGGAGAGGGGTACGAGATGACAGGGTGCGCGGGGTGAGAGGGGTACGAGATGACAGGGTGCGCGGGGTGAGAGGGGTACGAGATGACAGGGTGTGCGGGGTGAGAGGGGAACGAGATGACAGGGTGTGCGGGGTGAGAGGGGTACGAGATGACAGGGTGTGCGGGGTGAGAGGGGTGCGGATGCTGCGTGCACTTGCCTTGTCGTCCACGTGCGCCCACCCTGCTCCACCTCGGGTGCCGTGTAGAAGTACGTCCCCACCTGCCCCGTCGCTGACTGCCGTCTCTCCCCCATGGCCCCCCCTGCCCTCTCCCCCCTATCTGCACCCCCTTCAGGACTCCCTTCCCTTTCTGCCTCTTCTCCAGCGTCTGCAGCAGAGATACCCTCCCCCACCCCCTCCCCCAGCTCCGAGAACTTGGCTGCCGTGCAGGGTAGGGAGGTGGGGGGAGGACAGACGAGTAAAAGACACACAAGCAGGATCATGGAAACGAAGCAGACGAGAGCAAGAACAAAAGAAGAAAGAACGAAAACTAACTAATAAACTGAGTAAAGATGCAGATGACGCAGCATGCAGGGGACGCAGGTGAGGTGGGCGCGCAGGTGAGGTGGGCGCGCAGGCGTGTTGTGTTGTGATACCGAGGCCGAAGTCGCCGATCTTGATGTCCCCACGCGGGTCAACAAAGAGGTTGGTGGGCGTGAGGTCGCGGTGAATGATGCCCTGCCCGTGCACGTGCAGCAGCCCCTCCACCACCTGCCGAAACACCCTCCATGCCCACGCGCCATCCACCTCGTCCCCCCCCGCGCCTCCAACACCTGCCGCAGCGTCCTGGCAGGCACATGCGAATGGAGGGCGCGAAAGGGGCAGGCGAAAAGAGAAGAGGGCTCAGAATGAAAACACACAAGTCATGAGCATGGTGGAAAAGAAAACGGATAGGTGCACATGCATAGGTGCCTAAACAGGGGAGGTGACGCAGCTTCCATCACAAGCACAGAGGGCGGACGTGCAAAGAGCAAGAGGGATGAAGGGCGGGCAGGCAGCACCTGGGGCAGTACTCCATCTGAATGTACAGGTATGTCGTTTCCCTCTCACCCCCTTTCCTGCCGTTCCTCCCCCCGGCACGCTGTGGGAGTGGGTGAGATCTGCATCGCGTGTGAGCCACTCCGATGCCGATGCTAGCGACGTGCTGGCAGTGGGGCTGGCGCTGCCCTCCATGCTGTCGCTGTCATTGTGCGCGGGCAGGTGGCGTGTGGAGCGGCCAGCACCGGTCTCGAACCAGGCCTGGTAGTAGCGCACCACGTGCTGGTGCTGCAGCCGTGACAGCGTCGCCACCTCCCTGCCATGGCCCCACCGCACATGCAAGAGGGTGAGAGGGTGAGAGGTTGAGAGTGTGAGCGATCGAGAGGGAAGAGGGTGAGAGGGTGAGAGCGTAGGAGGGTGGGAGGGGCAGGGCACCTGAGGATCTTGGAGTTGAGGGCGGGGCTCTTGCCCCTGAGGGGAATCCTCTTGATGGCGTACTTGCGCCCGTCCAGCTTGTTCACACACAGCACCACCGACCCAAACCCGCCCTTTCCTGCTCCACACACAGGGGCAGCACAACACGAGGGGTTCATGGCAGGGAACTAGTGGAAGGCAGTGAGAGTCACCAGGGAAGGCGGCATACAGAGCAAGCACGGCATGGCATCGCCTCACCCAGCATGGCTTCACCTCAACCAGCATGGCATCACCTCACCCACCCAGCATGGCGACCTCCTCAAAGTCTGAGAGGTAGCGCGACCCCAACGCTTGCGCTGCATCTGCAGCGCTGCCCTGCCCCTCCGCACTGGCCGACCAGAACCGCTGCAGCGCCCGCTGCACCTGTGAGTGTCAGAGTGGCGTGACAGCACAACCGCACAGCCACACCCCTTGCACGCCCCGTTAGATCCCATGCCATGACAACACAGGCACCACAGCAGCCATGCAAGGGCGCACACACACCGGTGCACGCATGCATGGATGGACAGGCCAGGCGGAGGGAATTTCAAATCAGGCAGCAGGGATGAGGGGCGCACATGGCATGGCATGGCGGCTCACGGATGGGTCTGCATGGGCGTGTGCAGTGAGGCGGCGGGCAGGCTTGCTGAAGACACGGTGAAAGGCGCGGTCGACGAGGCGGGGGTCGTGGTGCAGTAGATCCGCCAGCCACTGCGGTATCACCTGCCCACGGTGCACTCGAACACATGCACACACACACACATGCGCACACACACACACACACACACGCACACGCACGCACGCACGCACACGTTAGATAGCTGCATCATTCCTCGCTGTTTCCATTGCGATAACTAATCCTGCAGCGATCATTGCATGTGGTTACCTCAAAGCATGATGTTACCTCATGACAGGTGCTTCCCACAAGCCATGTGGTTACCCCAAGCAACGTGGTTACCTCCAGGTATGTGGTTACCACAGGGCATGTGGTTACCACAGGGCATGGCATGTGGTTACCTCAAGAGCGTGCAGCTGAGAGGCGAGGGCAGGCAGGGCGTGGGGCAGAGGGCCGTTGTGGCTGGTGACCATGCGCAGCAGGTGAGCCTGCAGGCACGTGAAGGGAATGCATGTTAGGAGGGCAGCAGGGGAATGCAGGGCGCGAGCAGGGCGCAGGGTGGGGGAGAGGGTACGAGGAGCAGGTCGCGCTGGATCATGCCCGTGTACATGTCGCGCGACCCATGGTGCTGTGCTCCTGAGGCCGATGCTGAGGCCGAGGCCAGCACCGCAGCTGCAGCTGCAGTGGCTCCGTGCGCTGCATCCCTCCCATCTGCACCCACTGCCGTCCCTCCATCCGTTGAGAAACTTCTCCCTTCACTCTCTTCCTCCTCCTCCTCATCGTCCTCCTCCTCCTCCTCCTCACTCTGCTCGTCCTCCTCCGCCTCCTCATCCTCTCCATCACCACCACCCTCCTGCTGTGTGCGCCCGCCCCCTGCTCCCTGTGCCTCGCTGTGCTGGCTGTGCTCCTCTGATGCCCCACCAGCTGCTCCACCTGCCACATGCCACCACATGCCACCACATGCCACCACATGCGCCCACATGCACACACACACATGCACACACACACACACACACACACACACGCACACACACACACACACACACACGCACGCGCGCGCGCACACACACACACACACACACACACACACACACACACACACACACAGGGAACAGGCAGCAGGGAACAGGGAGCAGATGTTCATGGGGGGAACTTAAAGCCCAGAATTTAAGCACTGAACGCAAGGAGATTGTACCCCTAACATCCGCCCCTTTGTGAATCCACCACTCACCTCGGCCAGCACCTGCATGCTCCGGAGCCCCTCCCTCACTCGCCGAATCAGCTCCCCCACCGACCCCCCTGTGTCCTCCTCCCCTCCCCCCGACGCTGACAGGGTCACCGCAGAACACCCCAGCGCCCATGCACTGCTGGAGGTGGACGCGGCAGTGGAGGGGGCAGTGGACGGGGCAGGGGAGTCGGAGTATAGCCATCAGATGCACTGTCGCCCCCATGCTGCCACAGCCCCATGCCCCTCCGTCGCCCCCTGCCGCCGCTGCCTTGGCTCTCCTCCTCTCCACTCTCCTGCTCCTCGTCCTCGTCATCCCCCCCCCCTCTCCCTCACGCGACGACTCGCTTGCTTCTTCACTCTGCTGCCTCTGCATCTTCACCCCACCACCCACTGCACCCGCCCTCCCCACACCACCGCCACGGCCACCCACAGCAGTGCCACCACTCCTCCCTCGCCCTGCTTCTGCTTCTGCACCTCGCCCTGCTTCTGCACCTCGCCCATCTCCCCCTCTCCTGCCCTCAACGCCCCCTCTTCCTCCTCCACTCGCTCCTCGTCCTTTCCCTCGCCCGCCGCCCTCCACCCCTCCCCTCCCACCTCCGCCCTCCTCACTGCCCCCCCCGCCTCTGCCCCTGCCTGCGCCCCTGCCTCTGCCCCTGCCCCTACCTGTGCCCACAGTGCCCGGGGCAGGGGGCCAGGCAGCGGGGGCGAGGGGGAGGGCAGAGAGGGCGTCGGAGAAGAGCCCCGCGTCCACACTGTCCTCCCACGCGCACCCCACCTGCCACCCCTCCTCCTCGCTCCCCCCCTCGCCTTCTGCCTCGCCTTCTGCCTCCACGCCATCGCTGCCCGCCTGCAAGCACTCCAGCACAAAACCTTAACACGCAGGGAACTCAACGCAAGAGCTGTGGCGGCAATGGGTAACAGGGTTAGGAATGCGCAGACACATGCAGCACAAAGAACGACAAGACAGAAGGTGAAGGGCGATGAACGAAGCGCACCTGGGTGGGAGCAAGAGGGTGGTGTGTGGTGGGCGACAGTGCTGAGAGGCGGCGAGAGAGAAACTCCTGCGCTGTCTCGGCGAGGTTGAACACCGTCACCCGCCCCTCCCGTGCCGCCCGCGCTGCCTGCATGGCCACAGGACGTGTGCAGGACGCATGGGAAGGTCATCACTCAAGCCAAGCCAGAGCGCATAGTGACACAGCAATGGGCCCACACATTGGGAAAAAGGACTCGGAAGAAAGGAGGGAGCTGCGCAAGGGACGGGGAGCGGCAAGCAGAGAGGCGCCTGTTGGTCTATCGCCCCCGTCACCCCCCCGGCCCCACCTGGTCGTGCAGCAGCGCCACCAGCTCCACCACGTCGTCCTGCTCCAACCCCTCCCGCGCCTCCACTCGCACCTTCAACGGCCGCCTCGGATATCCCGCCACGTACCTGCACGAGGGGCGCGGGCAGGGGAAGGGGAGGGAATGAAAGGGTGGACGCGGCCATCTCCCGCTGCACCCCCGACATGCGCCCATGTCGTCGCCACCACACCATGCTCTCACAACTCATTGCCTAACCGCTATCCTGCCTCACCGCGACCTTGCCTGGGAGCGGGCTTGCCTGGGAGCGGGCTTGCCTGACGACGAGGTGGAGGGAGACGGCGTCGAGGTTGGCGTGCGCGGCGAAGGAGTAGTGCGGGCGCAGCAGCAGCGCGTACTCCACCAGCGGCCTCTCCGCGCGCAGCTCAAAGTCGTCCGCGAAGATGGCGGAACTGCCCAGGCAGGGGAGGACGCGGCAGCGAGGCAGTAAAGTGGATGGGCGGGAGCACGCGCAGAGAGCATTGAAGGGAGCACAGGTCAGAGGTGTGACAGCAGAGAGGTACAATGCTACTGGCGTGCGGCAATGTGGCTGAACACGCCTTCACACAAAATAATGCCGGCAGCACATGGCCGTAGTCTCAGCCGTACGTCCGTTCACAGCGGGGAGGTAGGGCGTCCATGGCGGGGAGGGCGGGGCGTACATGGCGGGAAGGCGGGGCGTACATGGCGGGGAGGCGGGGCGTACATGGCGGGGAGGCGGGGCGTGGGAGGGCGGGGCGTACATGGCTGTGAGCTCGTCGAGCTGCTGCGCGCGCAGCTCCTCATCCTCCTCCTCCTCGTCCCGCCGATGCCGCCCGGCCCCCGCGCGACCGCCTCCTCCTCGATGGCCGCGCGCCTTCTTCTTGCCCGCCATGCGCGCACACGCACGGCGCGCGTCACACGCGTGTGTGGACCGACAACATCACTCCTCTTGAAGGAATCTCACGTACCCAGTGAGACCTAACCCAATTAGCACTCGCACACGTTTAGGCGCGCTTCTGCGTTCGGTTGCAATACAGAGTTCATACAAGCTAATATTTTTACTGAAGAAGCAGCCTGACATTGATTCCAGAAAGACATTCGGGAATTTTTGTTTTAGATTATTTGGTGCTGCTGCCGTGAATTCCACGCAAGCTGTGCCCCTTCTACTTGTGTAAGGAGATTCCGTGGTACTGTGCGGTGCAACCCCCAAATTGGACGACTTCGCTTGCGTAGTTCTTAGTGATTTCGCAAAATTCGCCCAGTGCGTGTAGATCCTTGCTGGCGAAGTGACTTTCGGGATTCCAGAAACGGCAGGATGGTGGTGTTGGCGGGAAAGGGAACTCGGCAGAATCAATGAACCGCTTCTTGCTGCTCACCCCTTCCGCTCCTCACTCTCATCAAGTGCTTTCCCTTCGATCCGCAACCCCACGCGTCAATTCCGCACATAAAATTCTAGTTATTCCTCGGTGATCAGCGATTAATTCGCTTTTCACGGTCAGCGGCAGCAGCCTTCGCGATGGCATCGGAGGGGGGGCAGTCGCCGGAGGTGGAGGGCGAGGCGATGGCGATGGTGACGGTCGTCATCAAGAACCCCTCCGCGTCGTCGCCCGGCGATTTCAAGACGCGAGTGCGAGCGGCGGGCACGGTGGGCGACGTGAAGCGACAGCTGCAGGAGGAGTACGCGGGGAACCCCGACCCCGCGCGACAGAAGCTGATCGTCGCCGGCCAGCTCGTGAAAGACTCTCTCCTCGTCCGCGACGTATTTAAACAGGTCCGCCCGCACGCTGTGCTCCGACCGCCTCAGTCGTTTAACGCGTGGTCGGCGCTCTCGTCGTTATTGCGGGCATGTCGCGGAGCTGTGCGTCTAGAGTTGTGGATGAGAGTGATGGTGGGCGGAAGACTGTGGTTGCTCCCGGAGAATTTTATCATTCACGAGCGGCGAGCCTAAAGATTCAGTCCGCATGATTTGCGTGTGCCGTCACGTGCAATTGCGTCAGGGGAAAGGATGTGCTTGAATGTGACTCGTTTCACGTGCCACCAATCTCTGCTCTTCCCTCTCCCCCTGCGCTCCTCCGTGCGCAGAAGAACCTGAGCGAGCCCCAGGTGATGCACCTCGTCGTCTCTTCCGCCCCCCCGGGCACCTCCTCCGCGCCCTCCTCCGCGCCCTCGTCCGCGCCGTCCACGACCCACTCCAGTCGCTCCGTCTCCCCCACGCCCTCCTCCTCTGCGCGCGCTAATTCGCGCGCCACTCTCCCTGCCTCCAACCTCGCGCTTACTCCTTTCCCTGCCGCGCCTGCGCCAATCCCTGCGCCCGCCGCCGCCGCAGGCGCTGCCCCGGGGTCCGGGCAGGCGCGCACAGTGGAGGCGGGCGCTCCAGCTGTAGCGCCGCCCGCTGCAGCTGCGGCGCCCGCTGTGGCTGCTGCAGCCGCGGGTTCTGGCGCGGCGGATGGGGGGCTTACAGCGGGCGCGGGAGAGACAGGAGGGGGAGCACCCACAGCAGCAGCAACAGCAGCAACATCAGCGGCAACAACAGCGGCAACAACAGCGGCAACAACAGCAACAGCAGCACCCACAACTCCAGCGGTTTGGCAGGCCGGTGCTGGTGGGGGAGGAGAGCAGCAGCAAGCCATCCTTCAGGTGACCTCTCAGTCGCTTCTGCTCCCACTTTCTCTCTTCCCCCCCCGTTCTCTACCCTCGCCTTTCCTCTCCCCCGTCTGCTCTGTTCACACGCGCCCCTGTGCCCACTCCCCGCCCCCCCTTCCCCCCATCCTGTGCGCCCCGCAGCTACTCGGCGCGCTGCAGCACAGCGCGCCCACGGGGGTGCCGCCGCTTCCCTTCATGGCGCCGCCACTGCCGGGCCTGCCGCCGCCATACTCGCCGTTCATGCTGCCGCCCTTCATGCCGCCTCCCGACTCTCCCCTGCCTGCACCTGCTCTCTACCCCCCTCTGCTGCCCTCCCCTCTGCTGCCCCTCTCCATGCCTCCCATGCCTTTCCCCTTCGCTTTCCCTTTCTCCTGGCCCTCCCCTCCGCCCCTGCCCATGCTGGGTGATCCCCTCGCACCCATGGCCTTCGCGCCTCCCATGCCTCCCTTCGCCTTCCCACCCGCCATGCCTCCTCCGCACCCATTCGCCAGCAACAGCAACAGGTGAGCTGTTCTGAGAGTGCGAGAGGCATCGTAGCAGTGCGAGAGGCATCTTAGCAGTGCGAGAGGCATCATAGCAGTGCGAAGGGCTCTTTTATCTCTTCATGCTTACAGTTCGACTGATTTACTTTTTGTCTTTTAGCCTTGAGCCCACTGCAGCTGTTCCTCCACATTCTTATCGCCAGTTCTTCACCACTTGACCCCCTCGCCCCACCATGTGCCCCTGCCTATGCGCCCCTGCCCTGCCTTGTGCTGCCAGCCCGGCCCCCTGTGTTGGCGCGCCTGCACACACCCACCCGCACCACCCACCGGCTGTGGGCCTCGCACCACCGCCGCTCGCACCAGCAGCAGCGGCGGCGGCACCTTTGCCTCAGCCAGGGGCAGCACAGGCCCATTCCGCCGCCCCTGTTGCTGCCCCTGCTGCAGCGGCAGGTGTGGTGGGGGAGGAGGCGGCAGCAGCGGGGGCAGTGCAGCAGCACATGAGGCAGGCGGGTGCAGTGGGCGGGGTGGAGGAGGAGTGGCAGCAGCAGCTGCAGCAGCGGCTGCAGGCGGTGATGCAGGCAGTGCGGCAGCAGCAGATGGCAGAGCACCACGCAGCCATGGCCGCTGCTGCTGCTGCTGCCGCTGCTGCACAGAGGGGGGGTGCAGGTGGGCTTGCAGGGGTGCAAGGGGGGGGGGGTAGGGCGGCAGGGGATGCAGCAGCACATGTGGGGGTGGGGGGGGCGGCAGTGGTGGAGGGCGGCCCTAGAGTGCGGCGCATTCAGTTTGCGATCCGCATCGACCTCATGCTGCTGCTCAAGCTCACGCTGCTCGTCTATGTCTTCGGCCAGGGCGGGGGCTACCGCCGCTTCACCGCCCTCATCGCTGCTGCTCTCTTCATCTACCTGTGAGCCCCCAGCTTCTCATTAACTCACACCAGCATGTGGCAGCGGTGTCGGCACTTCACCTCTCTTCCCCGTCCTCCTCACGCCCTCTTCTCTGTGCCCTCTCTCCCATGAGCAGGTACCAAGCGGGGGTGTTGGCGCCGCTGCTGCGGTGGCTCTCCCACCGCGCGCAGGCCGCCATGGGCCTGCCGCCGCAACCCCCCCACGCCGCTGCTGCCCCCAACGCTGCAGCGCCACCCCAGGCTGGGGCTGCTGCTGCAGGGGGTGGGGGAGGGGCGCCAGGGGCGGAGGGAGGTGTCGGCGGGGCGGCTGGTGGTGAGCAGGGCCAAGCAGGTGCGAGGCTAAGTGCTCTCAGCCCCACCCCTCTTGCCTACCCCACCCCTCTTGCCTGCCCACCCCTCTTGCCTGCCCACCCCCTCTTGCCTACCCCACCCTTTTTCCATAACCCCAACCTTCTTGCCTGCCGTTGCTTGACTGCGACCCCTCCCTTCACTGGCTGCTTCTCGCCTTGCATTTCATGCTCCGCTACTCCCCATTCCCATTTGGTGTCTCATTATGTGTCTCATCCTTCGTCTCATCTTGTGTGCTGCAGCTGCTCAAGCCTTGCAGCAGCAGCCACCACAGCAGGGAGTGCAGCAGCAGCAGCAGCAGCAGCAGCTGAGGCGGGGGTGGTTACAGGAGGTGCAGGTGTTTGTGGTGGGTTTCCTCACATCGCTGCTGCCTGGCTTCCAGCCGCCTGACCATCTGCCCGCCGCCCTGCCACCCCAGGGCGATCGTCCTCACCAGGATTAGAAAAGAAACGAACATCAGTTACTTGGCTCAAAAGAGAGCAGTCCGTCCAAATTAGTAATTCTAAATTGTTTCTTTACTATATTTGCAAAAATGCTACATTGAATCGAAACTATTTCGCCATTGCCTTCCATCCACTTCCGTCGAACCAATCGCCTTTCGCTCAAAGATGCCTCCCACGTGCACCCGTTTTCAAGCTTTTCCTGCGCCACACCCTCGTTTGCATCACCGCAACGATTCTTTCACGCGAGCGCTCTCAAGTCGGCACGGCACGCGGCGATCCCTAGAGACCCAAACTCCTCACTTCTTCCAATCCCCGCCCACGGGCGCGGCAGCGACGGTCCGCGCGCCGGTCGTGACAGCTATCATGGCGTCCACCCACCCAGACGCAGCTGACTCCCAATCAGACGGCTCAGATTCTCCAATTCTCGTGGAGCGACCGGGTCCGTCCGATGTGACTACGGCAGGCGAACTGGCAGACAGGGAGGTCGCAGGGGGCGCAGCCGCTGGCGGGGCGGAGACGATGGCGGACGACTCGTCCGCGGGACCACCATGCAACGATGGCGCGCCCGGCGATGCGCGCAAGGAACGCGCAGAGACCCCAGGGCAGGAAGAGGCGGCATCCGCAGCGGCGCCGATGGCGCCGTCGAAGGCGCAGGGGCGAGAGAGCGGCGCGGCGGGCGGGTCGGGGCAGGGCGAGGTGGCGGCGGCTGTGGGGCAGGTGGCGGCGGGCGTGGCGGCGGGCGTGGCGGGGCTCGCGAGCAGCGCGGGCGCTGAGGCAGCCGCCGTCGTGAGCAGCCTGGGCGAGCGGGTGAGCGACGGGGTGGGGGCTAAGGGGCGAGCGGATGAGGGGCGAGCGGATGAGGGGCGAGCGGATGAGGGGCGAGCGGATGAGGGGCGAGCGGGTGAGGGGCGAGCGGATGAGGGGCGAGCGGGTGAGTGGCGGGGTGGGGGGTAAGGGGCGAGCGGGTGAGGGGCGAGCGGGTGAGTGGCGAGCGGGTGAGGGGCGGGCGGCAAAGGGGCGGGCGGCGGAGGGGCGAGCGGGTGAGGGGCAGTGGTGTGCGGCAGTGATGGCATTCCTGAAAGCCATGTCTGCGGCCTCACCTGCATGACGCGACGCCATCACCCCCTCACAGCCCCTCCCCTCCTCTCCTCTCCCCGGCGTGCATGCGCGTGCGTGCATGTTCACGTGTGTGCCTGTGTGTGCATGTGTGTGGTGCATGGGAGCGCGGCGAGCAGGTGACGGGGTTGAGCACGGGCTTTGTGTCACTGTTCAGTGTGTTTGACTCCGCCATCGCCTACCCCTCCGACAACCCCACTGCCCCCGCCTCCACCGTGGGTGGCAACACTGCAGCGCAGGCAGAGCCGCTCAAGGCCAGCGGGGGTGGTGATGGCAGGGGGGCGGGGGGGCGCGGAGGAGGAGGGGCAGGCAGGGGGGGAAGGCGGTGTGCGGTCGCCGCACCCGTCGCGAGCCATCGACCTGCAGGCCATCTTTGGGCTGCCCACCCATGAGACCCTGCTGGAAGGTGCGTGGAATGTTCCATGCGAGCCGTGCATGCTGAGGTGCTGTGCTGTGCCTGTTGTCCCCTTTCCTCAACACTTCCTTCCCCATCCTCCCCCCTCCCCCATCCTCCCCCTTCCTCCCCCATCCTCCCCCCTCCCCCCCCTCCCCCCCCTCCTCCCCCCTCCTTCATCCTTCCTGCCGCATTCCTTTCACAGCCGTCATCTCGTGACTTCCTCACACTCCACTCTGCCATCCATCGCCTTCTTTCCCCTTCTCGCCCTCACCACCATACGCCCTCCTCTTACCTCTCCCTTCTCGCCGCTCTGCGCATCACTCCAGTCCTCACCCCCACCTCCCACTCCCACTCCCCTTCTCACTCTCTCTTTTCTCTGGTGCCCAGCCTTCCCATGTCGGCTGCTGCAGCTCTACCGCCCGGTGCACAACACATTCACGCCGGACATGCGGAGGGCCTTCAGAGGCACGCTCTACATCACCCACCAGCACGTCTGCCTCTGCCTCGACGACAGTGGCCGCCGCATCCCCGTGAGTGCACTGCTCACGCCCACTCCGCCCCTCTCAGCCCCTCTGTTTCGCTCACCAATCCCGTCCCTGTTTGTCTCCTCCCATATTCCATGTCTTTTCGAGTCCATCTGTCCTTACTTCATTCGATTCACTCTTCCTCTCTCCCACACCCTTCGCCCCTCTCACTTCCGTCCCCTCGCCCTCTCACCTCCGCACATCCGTCTCTCCTCTGTGTGCGGCGGCCCTGCCATGCGGGGTGGGGGGGGGGGGGGGGAGCAGATCAAGCTGGAGGCGGGGGAGGTGGCGGGAGTGGGGAAGCAGGTGGCCAGGCGGGGAGATACCAGCGACCAACTCAAGATCGACCTGCACGGGGTGCACAACTCCGTGGGTGCTCTCCTCTCTCCCCCTCTTCCCTTCACCACGTCTCCCCTTCACCACCTCTCCCCTTCACCACCTCTCCCCTTCACCATCTCTCCCCCTCACGCCTCACCACCTCTCCCCCTCACGCCTCACCACCTCTTCTCCTCTCTTCTCCCTCGTCTCTCGGTCTCCCCGTCACCACCTCTCCCCCGTCACCACCTCTCCCCCGTCACCACCTCTCCCCCGTCACCACCTCTCCCCCGTCACCACCTCTCCCCCGTCACCACCTCTCCCCCGTCACCACCTCTCCCCCGTCACCACCTCTCCCCCGTCACCACCTCTCCCCCGTCACCACCTCTCCCCCGTCACCACCTCTCCCCCGTCACCACCTCTCCCCCGTCACCACCTCTCCCCCGTCACCACCTCTCCCCCGTCCTCCCCTCGCCCCTGCGCCCCCACCGCAGCTACTGCTGCAGGACTTCGCCTCCCCCGACGCGCTGGACAGTGCTCTCGCTCTCCTCGAACACATCACCTCCTGATGCCGCCCCGCACCACACTGCACCACTTGTCCCCCACATCTTGCGGCCCCAGTTATGCTGCCCTGCCCCGCCTCATGCCGCCCGACCTCAGCCCTTTACAGAGTAAGGTCAGCTGCAGGTTGGGCGCCTGGGGGTGCATGTGTGCACGGCGTGGTATGAACCATCGTCATGGTAGCTGTAACACACAGTGCTCTCAACACGCCCTCTACCACATTCTGGGTTATGGCATGGATTTAGGATCCCATTTGGGGTACCTATGCCCGGCCACATGAGGCGTGTGCTCTCGTGCTGCTGTTCCTTCCCCACTTTAGAGCGTAGTTATATGATTTTGCGTATAATAGTTATCATATATATAGAACCACTTTACACAGACCTTGTAGGCTACTATACGCAGTACAAGTCAGCGAGTAGGCGTATGCAGGGGTAGATGGCCTGGGGCGGTGCCAAGGCAGTGAGTGCCCCTCCATCCACGCAGGGCAGAGGGGGCAGAGGTCAAGGGATGCAGGTGGTGTGTGTTCATGCGCTGTCACAGGTGAAAGCCACGCCAGGCCTGCTGCTGTTGCTGCTGCTGCTGTTGCTGCTGCTGCTGTTGCTGCTGCTGCAGACCAGAGTGCTCCTCCTGCCTGCTGCCGCCACCACTGCTGCCTGCACCGCCCACCAACGCCTTGTCTGCTTGCAGAGTGAACGCCAGCTGATCCATCTCCCCCATCACATCCCCCCTCTCCCCCTCGCCATACCCGCCCTCCCTGCCACTGCCCCTGCTCCCCTCCGACTCGCCCCTCTCCATCTCCCCCCCACCGTCGTCCCGCCGGCTGCCGCCCTCCTCCCCCCCGTCGCTGCGCTCGTCGCGCTGCTCGCCGTCCTCGCCGCCGCGCTGGCGCTCAAAGCGGCTCACAAAGCGCTCGATCACCACGTGGGGGTGCTGCACTGCCACCGCCTGGGGGGTACACGGGGGACGCCAGGGAGGGGAGAGGAGAGGGGGGTGATGGAGCATGAGGGGGTGGCATGCTGCTGCGCCCGGGCTGACCTGCAGCTGCGGCAGCAGGTGGGGTGACTGACTGACATACGGTACACCTGTTGTGATCTGCAGGTGGGGAGGCGCACTGACCTGCAGCTGGGCCTGCAGGTGGCGCATGTAGTCGATGGCATCGTCCAGCATGTCGGCCGTGTTGGCCTGCTTGTCCGTGTTGGGCACCAGCTCCGCCAGCCGCTTCATGTTCTCCGCTATGCGCGACCGCCGCACCTGCACCACACCGCCGTGCGCATGGGGTGTGGGGGTTGAAGTCAACGCTAGGCAGCAGCAACTTCAGTGTGGATAGTGCTGTGCAAAGCGGTGCTCAGCAGTGGAGGGCGGTGGAAGGACAGGCAATGGAGTGTAGAGAGGGCGTCGTACCCGTTCGGCGATGCTGCGAGGGTGCGTAGCGCAGCCTCTCTTAGCGCGGATCTTACACAGCACGCCATCCTCCGACGCCAACAGCCGTCCGTTCGCCGCTGCCCGCGCCACGTCCTCCCCCAGCCCCGCCGCCATGCGCCCAAGATTCAGCCCCCCCGGCCCCGCCACAGCAGAAATCCCCCCCAAGCCCGCTCTGTGCGCCTTTCCCCCGCCCTCGCTGTCGCGGAACGGTCCGCCTGTCCCGCCCGGCGGCGCCATGCGCTTGGAGCGCGGCAGCAGCTGCATCTCCCGCTCCTCCGCCGCCCGCTTCTGCTGCTCCGTCGCCGCTGACTCCCCGCCGGGGGGCTTGGAGGCGCCACGCGACGGGGAGGAGAGGGGCGCGGAGGCGGCAAGCGGGGGCGCATGGGAGGGGGCGAGGCCGGCGCGCATGATGGCGCCCAGCTGGCTGCTGAAGTCGATGCCGCCTGGGACCGACGCGCTTGGGGGGAGAGACGCGGGGAGAAGCGCATGTGAGGGGGAGGGCGCGGAGGCGGTGCGGGTGAACGGTAAGGCGGAGTGGGACGGCGGCAGGTGCTGGTCGGGCTGTTGTGAGGAGCGTGGTGCGGCGGACTGCTCCAAGGTGCTGGCTGGCGCGAGCTCCAACGCCGCCAGGCCTGGCAACGGGACGGGCGCAACGCAAGGGACGGGCGCAAGAGACGGGCGCAAGGGACGGGCGCAAGGGACGGGCGCAAGGGACGGGCGGGAGAGAAGCGCGGGTACACAAAATCTGAAGTGGGCATCACGCACTATGCTTCTCGCGGGAGCGATCATTCATGTTGCGTAGAAGTGGGAATCGATTTCACCCATACCTGAGTGCTGCTGCAGCCACGACGACAGCATCCCGGACGCCGCATCGTTCGCGCCCATGGCGCCACTGCCACTGCCTATGCTGCGCGCCGAGCCCTCGCAGCCAGCCAACGGCAGCACCGCCAGGTGCCCCTGCCCGTGCCGCGCGTCGCTCGGCGCAGTGCTGCCGCTGGGTGCGCCCCGAGCAGCGGGCGCGGACTGATCGAAGAGGCCGGAGAAGTTGAGCATCGCCGCCGACGCCGCCTGCGGTGTGGCGTCTGCGCTGGCGGCGGTAGGAAATGCGGCGAAGTTGAAGCGGGACCCGGCGGCGGTGGAGAGATCAGCCGCGGGATGCGCGGATGCTGACAGATCGCGAGACGCCGACACGTCGGAGGACGCTGACACACGCGCTGCTGCCGCCGCCGCGGCGGCTGCGTGGTTTCCGGCGAGAAGGGCGTCGATGGAGGGAATGGAGGAGGGAAGGCCAGCCGCCGTGGCGGACGACTCTCCCAGCAATCCGAACGGCAATGCGCCCGCCGCGCTGCCGCCCGCCGCTGCGGTGGAGGCAGCGAGGCCGCGCGAGTAGAGGAGGTATGGATAGGCCATGCCCATGCCCATGCCCATGCCCGTGCCCATGCCCATGTGGTTCAGCTGCGAGTCCATCGCGCTCGCCCCCAGCGCCGCACTCATCCCTGCCGCCGTGCCGCCCGACGCAGGCGCACGAGACGACGCCCACGGGCCCGCCGACGCCGACTCGATGTTGAACGCCTCTCCGCCCACCGCCGCTGTTGCTGGCGTGTGTTGACGCGGCTCGAGTGCGCTGGAGGGGGAGTGAGATCGGAACACAGAGACGAAGTAAGGGAAATACTAATCAACATGCACTTGACGGGGGACGTGCGCAGGGTGTGAACCATAACAGAGGAAACTTTCAGAATTTTTCGTTTAGCAATTCTATAAAACGGCGGGAGCGGCGCGAGGCTCACTGGGGAGACGATTGATGCAGCTGTGACTGTAGCTGAGCGAGAGCGGACTCTATGTGCGCTGTAGGGGTCGTGGGAGTGGTGCGTAGGCTGTAAGGTTGACCTTTGTGCATCTCAGTGCCACTGGAAGCAAGGACGCGAGACCAGAGACTGGAAAGATTGTCCTCCCCTCCTGCCATTGCAAACTGAGCGAAGTTGGATTTTGGTCACTCTGTTTGGTGCTGGCAGTGCACAGGAATGGTTATGCAAGATGGCAAGTGTGTGGAGCGGAGTGGAGCGCAGTGAACAGACAGGGAACAGCTTTGCTGACTGCCTCCACCACACTTTCGTGCGAGGAGACCCACCCACAAGTGGTTTGCTCTGCCCGGCTGTGAGCTGAACAGCTGTCGTGTGTGCCGTTCGCCCGTGGTCGTGGAACCAGCTGCTCCTCGTACGGCTGCCCCAGAAATCTTACAGTGCTGGCTGCCCGTGAACTGTCACTCCAACTCGCAGGGTAAATGAAAGAGCAAGTGGTCAAATGGAGGCTATGTGGATGATCTTTCGTGTACTGCGCCCGCCCCGCCCCGAATTCTTTAGCGGAAAACTAAACGTTTGAGCACTCACTACAGACAGCACTTTACCAGATGTGTTCGTTCCCACGTGGCATGTGCGCAATTGAACTTTGCCTGCTCAAACAGATTCAGAGAGAACTTGCGCGCGCGAACCTTTGGTTGGCAGTCACAGGCAGAGCACACCAGCACCGAAAGCACTGCAGGTGTTCCCAGACTGACGCAGAAAGCTCACTTCAAGTTGCCCCGATCCGATAGACCGCATCACGAAACAGCCTTGACCGTCAGGACGAAAAAACTGCCCTGTCAGGCTGTCACTTGAGCAATTGCTTGTTGTGCTTGAGCCCTGCCCGAATTAGGTTCGGATGATTGAAACTGGTTTGGAGAAGCATTTTATGTTTGTGTTTCCATTATTTGGTTGACCTGCCCCTGACCCGCCAAGAGTATTTCGATGTCATCGCTGCTTTTGGGGGGAGTGACTTGTCCGTTGTACAGTCAATGAAGGAACAAGACCATACGAGTTCCTTGCACAAGCCAGCCCCCCGTCCCGCAGCCGGCCAACAGTGCAGCTGCCAGCTGGCTTGTCAAGCATGTCTTTCGGCTTTTACCTAATGCATGCAGATCTCGCTAGTGCAAGTTTGCGAATGCATGCAATAGACGGTTCAGGGAAAAATGTCGGCCTGTAGGCAAAATTACGCGGTACCCGTGTTTAGGGTTGAGGCTCCCCCAGTCGCATGCCATCCAGACGGGGTTTAGTTTTTTCTGACCGCGGGCAGATACCAGTCTGTCAGCTTCTTTCCCCTACGGCCGTCTATTGTATGCATCTGCGTAAACGCACTGGCATAAGTTGAATGTCGTTGAAAATGGCTCCATCCCATGTCTTTGGCTCAACCCCCACAGTGAAGTTGGACTTCAAATGGACAGTGTGCGCTGTACAGCTTATGGGCGCCGAGCAAGGACTCAATCTTCGTGCTGGTTGGCTGGAATTTAAGCTGATGCTGTACACGTCAGCTTTGGAAATTGCGATGCGCGGTTTGAGATTCACGCTTGTGTCCAGAAGTTGGGACAACGACAACTATTGATGAAGGAAATTATAACAGGTAACAAATGCATGCCCCTGGCCGAAAGTGTTCCTCCGCCTGGACCCAGAATGCTGCTGAGGTCAGCCCCAGCGTCCAACCACGCTCGATGATATTTTCCGTTCAAGGGCGTATGCTGCCAAAGCCCACACTTCAAGAGCTTGAACAGTAATCAAGGCGCGCACACGAAGTACACCGAACCTCCGCCATATTAATTCCTTTTAGAATTAACATAATGGGCAATGGTGATGTGTTCCCACACTACTATTTATCTGTAAATGCATCAATTGTACAAACGTATAAATGTCGCCACGTCTAGTAAACACTTTCTGTTGAATATAGAAAATCAACAGAAAAAAAATGAAACATACACATCACACACACACATGCACACACGCACACACACATATACACACACGCACGCATACATGCACGCACACAGACACACGAACATGCACACACGCACGCACGCACGCATGCACGCACACATGCGCGCAAACACACACACGAACATGCATACACACACACACATACACACATACGCACACACTCACTCACACTCACACACACACGCATGCACGTACACACACACACGAACATGCACACACACACTCACACACGCACTCACACACACACGCTCTCTCTCTCTCTCTCTCTCTCTCTCTCTCTCTCTCTCTCTCACATACACACACACACTCCCTCTCTCTCTCACACATACACACACATACACACACTCTCACACACTCTCTCCCTCTCTCTCTCTCTCTCTCTCTCTCTCTCTCTCTCTCTCTCTCTCACACACACACACACACACACACCTAAAATGGGTCAGCAAATCGCAATGTGCTTGCCTTTGCCACGTGCCACATCACCCAATAGTTTTTTCATGTACCTCACAAGCCAACAAATAAAGGAAATTAAACATTAGCATAAACCGAGATCTACTGAGTTCTGAAAGTGTGATATGAGGTTGGCCTGATAAGGGGCCCTAGGAACACGCCCTGGAACAAAGGATCTGCCATCAACGTAGGATGCGACATACTGTATTTTGTGACATCCTCGTTTTGGCGCACAACAGGATCAGGGCCCAAAATAGGTTTTAGCTCAGAGCGTGTCCCTACACCTCGTATCAGAAATACCTCGTATCAGATCCACATGGTGAAAATGCGTTTCAGTGTGTTCGACTGCGGTTGGATGCGTTTCGGTGCGGTTTGACGCGAAATTGATATGAGGTTGCCTGATAGGAACACGCTCTCACTCTTTCAAATCAGGGTGGCAGGCCCCCCGTTGTTAAACTGTTATATGTTGGTAGGCTGTAGTGGGGTAGCCAGTATGGGGTACAACCCCAACTAGGGTTAGCTACTTGTACCCAACTGTTTCATTCAATGCACCATTCTCACGCTAGTATTCTGACATGGTATTCAGAGCAGGTGGTCCCTAGGACCATCCGATCGTTTTTTTTAGGGCCCACCACCGCACGCTGCGGTTACCGCGTTACCCCCGCGCCCTACCCTCGTAGCGCCCTCGTTGCGCTCTAGCGCCCTCGTAGCGCCCTTTGTAGCGCCCTCGTGCGCCCTGCCGACCGGCGTCCTGCCAGCCCAGAGCCCCGCGCGCCTCCCCTGCTTTGCCCGTCGCGCCGCCCGCTCTGCCCCGCGCTGCCCGTCGCGCTGCCTCGCAGCCCCGCGCACCGCCCGCTGTGCCCCGAGCCGCCCGTCGATCTGCTGCGCAGCCCCGCGACCCGCCCGCCCTGCCCCGCGCTGCTCGTCGCTCGGCTCTGCAGCCCCGCGCGCCGCCCGCTCTGCCCCGCGCAGCCCGTCGAGCTGCCTTGCAGCCCCGCGCGCCGCCCGCTTTGCCCCACGCCGTCCGTCGCGCTGCCCGCCCGCCCGCCGCGCTGCCCGCCTGCAGCGCCGCCTGCCTGCCGCGCTGCCCACTTGCAGAGCCGCCCGTCCGCCGCGCTGCCCGCTTGCAGCGCCGCCTGCTGCTCCCTGCCCGTGCGCAATTGCCCGCCCCTGCTGTGGTAGCTTGCGTTGCTCTGCCGTACTGTCGTTATGGCTTCCATCCGCGTGCTTTCGTTCGATGCTGAGGGCCGCCCTGTGCAGTTCACCACTTGGCTAGATGACCTGCAGCTGTTCCTCCTGAGCGATAGCAAGGAGCATGTGTCGCTCTATGATTACGCGTCTGGTGCTGCACCTGCCCCTCCTGCCACAGCAGAGCTTAGTGTTCGTTCCCACTGGCAGACTCGTGACGCAGCTGCTCGCCTAGCCATTCGCAGTCACCTGCCGTTAGCTGAGCTCGAGCATTTTGGCGACTGCAAAACCGCTAAGGCCCTGTACGACGCTGTCGTTGCCCGCTATTCCTCACCTGCCACAGCCGAGCTTAGCCGCCGTATGCTGCCTTACCTGTTCCCTGAGCTGTCCACCTTTGCTACAGTCGCCGATCTTATCACCCACCTTCGCACTAGTGACGCTCGCCTGCGTGCCGCCCTTCCCACCGAGTTCTGCGCTAAGAACCCCCCTCCACTGTACTGGACACTCCACTTTCTAGTCACCCGTCTCCCTGACACCCTTAGCTCAGTGCGCGACTATTTCCTTGCTCGCTGTCCCACTGAGCTCACTGTCGCCCTCCTAGAGGAGAAACTGCTAGCAGCCGAGAAGAGCATTGTAGCTGTAGGTGCTGCTCGTGGCGCTCCTCGCACCCCCATCTTTGAGGGGTGTTCTCCCTCTCCCCTCGCTCCCTCCTACGCTACTGCTGCTGCTGTTGACTTCCTTGGTGCTGAGTCTGCTGGCGCTGCTTCTGCTCCTGGTGGGAGGCGCCGCACCGGCAAGGGCAAGGGGGGCAAGGGTGGCGGGGGTGGCGCTGGGGGGGGAGGAGGTGGGGGAGGTGGGGGGGGAGGCGGTGCTGGAGGGAGCGGTGGCGGGAGTGCTGGTGGGAGTGGGGTCGGCAGCGGAGGCGGGGGCGGCGGAGGGAGCGGTGGCGGTGGTGGCGGCGGCGGCGGTGGCGGCGGCGGCGGCGGTGGCGGCGGTGGCGGCGGTGGCGGTCGGAGCGGAGGTAGTGGTGGCGGCGGAGGTCGGAGTGGAGGCACTGGCTCGGGCCAGAGCTCCCACCAGCAGCAGCGTCCCCAGACGACCCAGCAGCTTCGTGAGTGGCTTGCTCAGCGTGGGACGTCGGGGGGCAGTGGCCGCTGTTCCTATGTCATTCGCACAGGTGACCGCAAGGGACAGACGTGTGGGAGGTTCCACACCCCGTACCGCTGCTTCTCCCGCCTTGACGACGCTTGGCGTGAGGAGATGGGCGAGGATGTTGAGCGCCCCCGCTGGGCTGAGCTCATGAGGGCTGGTGTTGATATCTTTGCTCTTGACTATGATGCTATTATTGCTGCCATGTATGCATTGACTGTTAGTGCCGAGGGAGACTGTTACTTGTGTGTGCCGCCTGACCCAGGTATAGAGCCCGCTGCCCTGGGTACTAGTGAGTCTGCTCTCTCTG